CAATCATTAATTTTTCCCCCATTAAATACCTGTATGTACATGTACAACAATAATATCTGAGTGTATAGTTAAAATTGTGATTATAATTATGTATATATGTACAATGTTCTTTTTCTGGTTGTGTGCGTTTCCGACAGAGTATGATGTATTGTGGTATGATTTTCCGCCATCCGTTGTCAATTTTGATTTTGAGACACAACCATCCAAAATTGACAACGGATGACGGAAAACGGTAGCACAACACATATGAAATGCAAATTATACATACATACATAATTATGTACGAGTAACTTTAAAGGTAAATTCATTTTGAAAGCAATTTTTCTTCAATGTTTTTTTTCCTACAAGCGTTGTGCTCGTATTAGCGCCTCTAGCCATAAGGATTGTACTCAATTTTACTACTGAATATTTATTATCATTTTTATGAACGTGACAAAAATCTGTCCATTTTAATGGGCAATTAAACTCTGCGCTATGTATTTACGCTGATTTGTTTGAAACCAATTGAACAAGGCACCATTAATGAAGTCACATACAATTTTCCGAAAAAATATCAAAATTGATTGTAATAGTACGTGCGTAGTGGAAAAATTTATATGGCATAGCGCCAAAAAGTAGACAATGATTTATTTAATTGCCTCCTAAATGGCCAGCCGTACTTACAACTACGCGCTATCTGCTCTGGCTAATATTTAGTTGGCTAGCAACGGCAATAACGCGCGCTATTGTTTATTAGCTTGTCGATTTAATTTATTAGTGCATATTTTGATGCTAACAACATAGCCATAGCATTGACACCAAAGCAAAGCGCTGGTAGTAAATAAAAGATTTTTCGAAAAATAAAGTAGTAACTGCTGGCGGCGCCTTGAAGAAGGCAATCTTGAAAAAGCACATACATATTTTATTAAGTTATTTTAAAGTAGAGAAGGTGTAAAAAGATGTAAATTTTTTAGTGTATCTTCAAGGATACCTTAGGAATCCGCTCGCATTTTAGAATATGATTTCCCCATCACTAGACTGTGGGTGTTTATGCGGAAAAACGAAATCTAAGAATAAACTATAACAAAATTTTTAAAAACTTATATACAAATTTGTACATTTTCCTAACAGTTAAGTGCTGAATATTTTTAGGCTTCTTTTTCTGCATAAAAATCCGCAGTCTACTCATCACTTTTAATAATTTGCCTTTTTGTTTTGAGTGAAAAATACCTATTCATTTTGGCTTTTTTCTTCTGAGCAGTCCGAACAAAACACAAGGACTCGCTTCTATATTGGAGTGAAGTCTACCTTAAAAAGATTCAAGCTCCGATGCTGGTAAGTATAACTCAAAGGGCCCGAGGATGCTTGAAAATACGAGATTTCACTGGGTTTGACAACATGGAGGCATCTCAGGATCAGCTTCTGAACATATTTTTCGTGGCAACCAACATAGGACTAGTTGAGTAACATTTCAATGATATTCATTCATTCACTGGAGACCTTTTCAATGTTTTTGCTCTTTTCCTTTCCTTCCGTTACAGTGTTTTTAAATTTAAATTTTTTTTGGTTATTTTTTACAACTAACCAAAATCATGGGCCTTATCAATAAAAACATATCGATTTATTCAAAAAAATTTAAGTATGTAAAAGGTTTGACATTTTAAGAAAAATTGATTGCTTAGTATTTATTCATTAGGCCCCATGTGAATCACACTTTCAAACTTTATTTTCATCAAAATTTCCATCTTTTTAACCTGAATCTTAAAAAATGTTTTGGGTATGTAGTTCAATCGTCTGGTAAATTTTAGTATGGTAAATTGCAATTTTTAAGCGGCTAAAAAGTGCATCAGTTTTTTATATACATATATTTTTTTCTTTTTGCTGAGGGCTTTCATGTGCCAAGTTCAATTTATAAAGACTGGTGTTGATTTCTTTTAACCGACGTCACATCAGGAAGAAATTAATGATAATCTTAAATTTGTATATGAGAATTGAAGTCGGATTTGTTTTTTTGCTTAAAACTTACTTGTGTTTTTATTTTTAAATTTTCTTTCACAATGAATTCACCGCAAACCAAAAAATTATTAAAAATCAATGCAATTTACTTACACTAATGGCCACGAAAAACTGAACACCATTTAAAAAAAAAATTGGTAGAATTTTACATAATAAAAAATTATTTTTTTTATGTAAATAGTTAAAACTGTGACACTTCAATATTAAAAATAAAACGTTGTACAAAATTTAGAAAAAATTCATCAAAATTTCAAACTTTTTAATATTATAAATTTTTACGAAAATTTCGAGCATGCAGTTTAATAGCCCACTTAATTTTAATATATCTAACAGTATGCAAGTTTGAAGGGACCCAAAATTCTTGATGATTTTTTTAATTTTTTTCACGTTCTTTTGACTTTTTTCCATACATATATGGGAAAAAAAGAAAAAAATGTTATAGCAACCAATTTTCAAAAATCAACCAAAATTTTGAGCTACTTCAAACTTGTACTTTATTACGCTAAGATTAACTAAGCTATTAGCTGCATGCTCGAAAGTTTTGAAGCATTTTAATTAAAAACTTTGAAGTTTTGATGAAAAACGATGAATTTTTCTATATTTCGAACAAAGTTTGAGATTTTATTTAGTGCAAATTATGTATATTTAAAAAAATTATTTTTAATAATTTTAGTAGTGTTACTAAGCTTTGTACCACGATTTTGTTTTTTAGGAAAAATGATTTACGGGTCCGCATATCTTAGTGGTTAGCGTTGTTGGCTTTGTACATCGATAATACGGGTTCAATTCCTGCCGAAGTGTAGAAAAAGAAGTCCGCTTAGACTTTGCTGATTTTTCCATTTTTCCTGAAAAGCAAAATTGTAGTACAAACTCAATAGCACTATTGAAATAAATACGCCAAAATAGAATTAGCAAATTCATTTTTTTATTAATTTAAAAAATTCAACCTTATTTTTTTCAAGAGTGGTAAGGTTTGCTTGGACACAAAAGTGTTTCTAAATTTTATAAACATCCATATTAACAAATTCAAAATTTTTTATGAATATTTGTTGAATTTACCTACATTCCGTATAAAGTTTGAAAATTTGATTTACTCGTACATGGTTTTAGTTAAACGGCAGCAAACGGCAAAATGGAAAAGAAATTTTCTCTTAACAAAATTGGTTAATTAAACAAAAAAAAAATAAGAGAACTGTGGACAGCATTTTTGTAAAATAATATCAAAAAAAATTTGCTCGAAAACCATTAAATATTAAAAAAACAACATTTATCCAATTTTGACCGCCAGTGGAAGTAACAGAAGGGTTCAAATATCAGACAGAAGTTTTTAAGAAAATAGCAGATAGTTAAAGGGTATTGAATATACTTAAGCCCTTGATAAGCAAATTAAACAAATATTTTCTCTTATTAAGGTAACATTTCCTTAAACAAAAATGTCTCAGCTGTAAACATATCAAGTTGGCAAAATGAATCGCACTTCCTAATAAACTCTTTCAGGTAGAAGATCTCCCAGAAGCCCTGCCATTCGAATGCCGACGAGAAGGGGGTTTCCATTGCAGCAGAGGACAACTAAAGGAGATGGTAAATCATTATGGAGATGGTAAACTATGGTCATTCCATACAAAATAAATTGGAGTAAAGAATATATTATGGAAGTACTAAATCAGAAATCAGAGAGGTATTCGAAAATGTATTTTTTTCTAATTTAACCGACTGGGTATTTGTACAATGCAATGGGCTATTCACAGGACATATGTATACCACATGACTTTCGAGGAGTTGCTGCGACGAAGAATATAATCTGGTATTTAATATGCGAATGCCCTGCACTCTGCTGGAAAAGACTAACTTCAACTGAAGTGTTTAGAAAGGGTTAAGAGATCTGAATGCATGGCTATGACGAGGGGCCCATCACATGGCCTGGCTGTTATGGCTCGCTCAGCAGTCACTTCAACCTAACTTAATCGAAGTATAGAGACCTTTCGTCATTTTTCGAGATTTTTCCGGAATTTTTCTAGCACTTTTCGTGCACAAAGTACATGCAAATTTTAAGTTTATCTTTTCTGAATGAAAAATGAACAGCAAAATTTACTGGTTATTCTCATGCCAAATAACTTAAGCACATTTAACCCTTTATTTTTGCTTAAAAAGTAAATAAAAAAAAATTATACATTTTTCTTGCTCAAAGTATCGACAGTCAAAACTTTGCCCAGCATTTTTTCCTTCAATTGTGAAATGCTTACTCGCTAATGTCTCTGCTTTAAAGCTATTTTATTTTCAGAAAAGGTTAAATGAAATCTTTTGTGCTGCCTTTCGTGAAGTTTTCTTTTTTGTGTCATATCGATAGACTGATTCTCCCTGAGGATTTTATTTCGTTGTCTCCAAAAGCAACACCACATCGCTGTCACTTATGCCCACTACTTACGCAGCACTTTCAACTTCCACCCCATCCGTCCATGCCCCCAGGGCTTTCAACAGCCTTCAACAGTCGTGTAACTGTTATTTTTCGTTTACTGTTTGTTTATCTCTACTCTTCAACAAATTATGGCCCAAAGCTGTAAAGACAGCGCATTGTTCAACCTTACCGCCACCGCCACCCTCACAAATGCCGTGCGCGTGTCTTTATTCATCTTCGCATTCCCTTTTTTTATGTATTTATTGTGGCATATATTTTCCCATGGTTGATTTTGAAATTTTATAACACTTTTTTATGAATTCAAACGTAGCAACTTAAATACAAATTTCTTACAAAATTTTTATGTTTCGATTTCATGATATTCAAACGCACAAGCGGTTTTATACTGCAATTTTATTAACAAAAACACATTTCAAACACTACACTTTAGCGCACAAATAACAAAAACAACAACTTTTGTAAGTTAAACAAAAAAGTATTCCTTCATGGATTGTTTTATAAATTTAAAACTGCCTGCATAAAAATATACATATAAATTGTATTAATATAACATATGTAGTATGTATGAAAGATAATTAAATTTTTTTACTAGCAAACAATCTACACTACACAAGCAACTACTGTACGTTTGAGTACGAGCCAACAACTCGCAATCGCAACTCCACTTGAGTGTAAGTTTAAAACTCGACTGAATCTGTTGAAACTTTTCGCTATCCTTAATATACCAATTCGCCAGTGTGTAGAGATGACTGTTTCTTACAATGCTCGTACACGAAGTTGTGGCATAGTAGCAAATTGTTGCACGAAGCGCTTTGAAGGAGCAGAGAGCGAGCGTCATTTTTGACGCTGATGGTGAGAGATTTATTGAGAATGTTGCCACTTAATGAATTAAAAAAAATAAAAATTTTCGAATAGCTTGTAATAGCCTTTGATTAACAATGCGAAGGTTGTTAAAACTGACAGGTAAAAAGGCCCGAATTAGTTAATAGCTAGATCGAAAATAACCGTCAAATATCAATATTTCTATTTTTAGATTATTCCGTATAAAAGAAAACTAAGCAATCGCTTTTTTTTAGTTTCAGACCTTTAACTTAAATTTGTTTGAATCAATCAAACAAAATTTCTGAAATTTTAAGAAAAAGCAATTGCTAGGTTTTTATTCACCCATTTCAAAACTGTTATTTTGTATGTTAACTTTTTCTGTCAAGAATAATCGTTACGTGTGCATTTTTATTTTTCCAGCCAAATTTTTCGTTATTTTACGATTTTTATTTTTTCGATCAAAAATAATCGTTATTTTGGAATTAAAATTTTTTCGACCATTAATACCACTTTCAATTTTTTTGTGATCTAAAAAATTAGATCTGAAAGTAGCGGTTATAATATGATCCAAAGTAAAAAAATCAATCCAAAAGTAATGATTATTCTTTATCGAAAAAATAGTACAAAATAACGGTTAAATTTGATCAGGAAAATAGAAATCCAATTTAAACGATAAAAGTTGCGTTCTCTAACTCGCAAGAAGCTGCAAGAATTTACAGGAATTTACCAGAAAGCGTTCCCGTACTTGATTCTCTGGTAAAGTAGTGGAAAAATAGGGGAGTAAAATCGATCCTCTGTTTGTCAGAAAACGCTGGATTTTACCCAAAAATTATTGCTGAGAAAATTTGGTAAAGTAAACCATCAACTGTTCAAACGATTTTAAAGTTGAATAAGCAAAAAAAGTACATCTGCCTCGCCTATGATTAGCCGAATGTGGTGACTAATAAAGGTTTCAATGCCGAGTAAACCTATATATTGTATATACATTTTCCTGATAGGTTATATGGCTGTTATGCAATCAAATATTGGAATGGGGGCTCCTTTAAAGGGTCATAGATTTAAATATCGGCCTATCGGCGTTGGAGGAATGTATGGGATATTGGTAGAGCCAGTTTAGCCTAGGAAAAACTATTTTGTCCCAAGATCGGATTTGGCTGGGTAAGGAGTACGTCTCGAGCCGCCGGAAATTGGCATCCGTCTTACTACTTTCCGTATGACTTTCACACCAAACCAGCAACGGTACTGGTTATACTGCGCTCGCTGCCGTGATGTTGAGGCTGATGAAGTCAGTGCCGTTCGCAGACCCCGGCAGTAGCGCACAATTTCACGCTTAGACACGACGTCATAGAGTCAGCTTCTATTCGCACTATTTATCAAAAACGGTCTTCAAAACGACGAAAATGTAGTGTGTGTTAGTTTGCCCGCTAGGATTATACAAACTGTAAAAATTAATTGCGGAGTTTCCAGATCCAAAGCCACTCTGAAAATGTCCAATTAGTTGGTTTGAACACAGTCAGTATTGATTCAGTTTTGAGTACAGTCAGTATTCCCACATTTACTTTACTATTTACTACTTTATTGTTAAACTGCGTTCACAGAAACTACCGGAATGAGTGTCAATACCGTTATTGAGTCTTCAAGGTGCACCCTATTCCGATTAATGGCAAATTTTCCAATGAAACCGACGTACTGAGTTGAGATTATTGAATCGTAAATGGAGGGCATATATGTTCTGCAATTGCTATTCCTTGCAGGACCAAATAAAAAATTAAAACGTTTCGGCAGATATTCATTTGTTTTCATTTTCTTTGTACTAAGAATAATGTGGCAACATTAAAAAAATGCTCCACTAAAACATGGAAAACATCGCAAATTGAATAAACTCACGTCTCTCTCTCTTTTCTCTTTATGCTCATCATTCATATTTGTACATACGTAGATATGTGTATTTGTAAACATATACTTCATAAAACCTATACACCTGTTTTTACGTTTACTCCCCACATAAAATATTAATAATATAAAATAAAATTTAGAATATAAGTTCACAAGGCAGTTGTATTGAATGGTTCGGTAAATGAAATTCCTAGCAAATTTAGCTACTTACGACCCGAAAACAACCCGGTAACATCAATAAAAGCATAGAAAATACGATCATGTACTAAATAGTTTAAAAAATTTTTGCTTTTACTTGCCATTATTTTTTTTTGTTGTTTTAATAAAACCATTTCTAAAAAAATATGAAAGGCCATTAAAACTTTGTACCAAACATGTAAATATACTAAAACTAAGAGAGAAATGCGACTGTAGGGGTCAATGCCAAAAATGAGTTTTTGGACTCTTTTAAATAACATTTTCACCAATAAATATATACAAGTGAACCCGCATAGCGTTAAAACGCCCAAAATTGAATTTAAAAACTTAAAAAATATTCCAAATGTTGGTCAGAGTTCCGAGTGCCATATTTCATCAAAACCGTGCAGCCGTTTCTGAGTGAAGAGCATGTGCATGTTTTTATTGCCATCGAATTTCATGTCACCCTATATCGGTGAAAAAAGTTCTTAATTAAAAAAATAAAATCTTATCCCACATCAACAGGCTAAGGTCTCTAATTTGATCTCTCATTATTGAAATTCCTTTTCAAAAGTATTCCCAAACCAGAATCCTTTTAAACCTCTCTCGTCTGACATTGTAATACACATGTGTTTCAATCAACTGATGAACTAATTCGAATTTGATTTTTCGCACAAATGGCAACCCTCTTAAATAAAGGTCAGGAATAAATCCCTTTCAAACCCATTTCGTTTTATGCCCTTCAGCAGATCTTTTATTCATCCAACTTACTGAATAATTTGAATGTAACTTTTTAGACACGTGGCAACTCTCTTGGAACATTCGAAATGTTCAAACTAAAGATTTCTTAACATTCTTTCGTTTGACTGCGGTGTTTTTATATTTTATATACTTTTTGAATTAGTTAATTGAGTTAGACCTTTCAAACAGCCCTCTTCAAAAGTACATTCAAGCTTAATCATTGTTAACTCTGCTTTGCCGGGCACTGCGATACATATTTTAATTAACTGATGAATTAAGTGAAATTTTAATATCTGGAACCCCGCTAAATACAGTTCAGAAATAAAAAATTTTAAACCCCCTTTGATTGATACCCATATTTAAATAATTCAATTAACTTATAAAATATTTTGAATTTAATTTTTTAATCAGGTGGCGACCCTCTTCTAATGCCTCAAAAATATTCTTAGAGTTCAAACTAAATATTTCTTAACACTCTTTCGTTTGGCATCCATATTTTGATATTTCGTATAACTTGTGTATAAGTAAACTAAATTTGACATTTCTAGCAGGTGGCAACCCTCTTCAAAATATTTTCGAACTACTTTCTGAAACTGCTTCCGTTTGGCACCCATATGGTGATACATATTTCTCTTACTTAATATGATTTTTTAAACAGGTGGCAACCCTCCTATAGATCAGTTAAGGAACAAATATTTTCAAACCCATTTCGAATGATAACCAGTTTTTAATAATTAAATAATTTTCTTAATAATTTGAATATAAGTTTTAAAAATGTGGCAACTGTTTTCAAAAAAATAAAACCTATTTCACATCTACAGTCCAAGGCTTTTGGTTTGACGCCTCATTTTGGAAAATCTAACGAGCGGTGTGAATTTGATGGCATTGATTATTAAACGATTTGAATTCAATTTTTTTACAGGAGCCAAGGTGGACTCTTTTCCAAAAAATAAAACCAGTTTGCACATCTACAGGACAAGCGCTTTAATTTGACACCCCATCTTTGAAAATCGAACGAACGGTGCAGATCTTTTATGCTGCACTAAAAATACCTTCGCGTATTATATATATAGATGTATATAGATAATATATTTTATTATCGTAATGTGTGATTACTATATTTCATTAGGTATATACAATTATTTTATTGTTAAAAAATTAGTGGAAACATAGCCATATTACCATGAAGGTGTGAAGTTAAGAATTCGGCTCTAGCTGAACAAGGTACACTGTGACTTAGAAGCCAATTTGTGTCCCGATTATGAGTCCCTAACCCAGAAAGATCAAGATTTTGACTTTTACCTTTCCTTATTAATGCTGAAAGGGCCTGAGTATACTTTTTCCTTAAAGGATGGACGGTAACGAATTAAAACGCAAGGAGGTATGGCCGTTCTTATGGCTACCCAACAGCTCCTGAGCCCTAGAAATTCCGGCAGCTTTGGTTTCACCATCGAAGAACTTCTTTCATTTTTAGTATTTTTCACCATTTAAAAACTGCTGGCAGTTTTGCACTTCTTTTCGCTGATTTATTTGGGATCGCTAATCGTCTTCACCACAATATAACAGGCCAGCCTAATGTTCACGTGAACCATTATGTGGTCTCAGTTGGTCCTCATCGAGAGCCGTAATTACTGAGTAGGTACACTCTGCACGCAGTAAGTACTGAGGAGTGGAGAAGGACCTCTTCTCTATTAGCTACCAGCGATGATCGTTAGGGAGTCTGGTTGTACCTCATTAATTGCATTTGTTTCGCTACTCGCTAAGTGTTGGCGAATCAAAGGCGGCTATTTTTACGATTTTCCCCAAGAGTTATAAAACACAGCATTTCTGGTCATGACGTCACAATAACAACGAATAAGGTGAAGGGGATAAAAAATTGCATCAGTCGCCATTTCTATGGTAATGTCACATAAACAGCTAATTCCGTCAAACTCTCTAAGAACAAATCAGCGGTCTTGCTGAATGCCTGAATGCACCAACTTTGTCTTCATCGTGGATTATCCTCGAATTTTTTCCTTTTTCCCAAATAAATCGAGTTCGTCTCACTATACTGTTAAAAAAAAGAGGCTAGTAGTAGACACCTGCGCCGTTTCGGTCCCCGCGTGGTGATCATTGTTCGCGATAGTCTCGTGATCATTGAAGCCTCTTTCTCTAAAGCGGGCGCAGAAAGTAAGACACTTGTCTAGCACCATTCCTAGGTATTTAATTGTAGGTTTCGTCATGAGAATGTGATCGCCAATTTTCATCGCTACATCCTCTAACTTCGTACTTCGAAGATAGTATTACATTAGTATTTTTGCTCCTCCTCGCCACCGTATACCACTTTTTGCATCCCGTGCTAACTTAATGACTTCTGCCACCGCATCCAAAGTGGATTTTCCTTTCCTAAGCCAGGGTTGTTGTAGCGGTATTTTTCGCTTCTCGCAGACTTCCCTGTCGAGATGCTTCGCTATTATATGCTCCACAATTTTACCTGCTGAGTCTAGCAGGCAGATAGGCCGAAAACTTAAGGGTTCTTTCAGAGGCCTCTATTTCACAATAACAACCCATAAAAATTAATTGCCAGCAGAAGAAAATTCAAAGTATGAATACTCTCTTGATTTGTGTATGCAGCAAGAAAGAATATCAGTAACGACAGTAACCAATTGACAGTTCACTTACCGCGCATACCACAAGTAAATGTAGGTAAACTCCAACGAAGGAATACAGCAGTTGACGCTTTTAAGCATAAAAGCGGGCGTAGTTAACAAGCACCCACACGCTTGCGGCATTTACGCAAATGAACAAAGAATTAACGCAAATTTCAAAATGTACTCACACATGCATACATACATACGTGCATTTTCACACCAAAACATGTGTAAATAAGTACATACATACTTAAGTACACGATTCAGTCGATTGCATTAAATTGGGCACCACCCCTACAGGGTCGCCCACGCATATTGCGCTCAGACGGCAACTCTGATTCGCCACTGAGCGCATATCCGCCCGCGCATCTTTAGCTGTGTGTTGCAATATCTACAGATGTGTGCACAAATACATAAAACAAGGAATAAATACCTACAAACTAACAAGTAGTAGGACGCATTCGTTAACGTTGGTGGATTTGGTGTAAAAGTATGTTGGATACAGATGTGATTTTGCAGTGCGGCGTATGTACACATATTTAACCCCATATGAATGTATGAATGTGTAAACATACATACATATATGCCAGTTCCCACTGGCACTGTGTCAATTGCCGGGAGGCGAGGTCGATATATCTGTGTAAGTGCATGTATGGATTAACTCAATTTGCCACAGAGCGAGGACAAGTTCGAATCGACATCATTACGACGCGTCGAAACGACGTCGAAACGAAGTCATTTTTTCCATACAAAACACAACGTCGTTCAAACGTCGTTCTTTTCTCATCGAATCGAAGTCGTTACGACGTCGCACAATGGGGCCAAGCGTGCTCTAAACTCAATTTTTAAAAAATCTTTTTTTGGAAAAATAAATACGCAGGTGTCTTCCCAATTAAATTCTACATTTGGTGGCAAGTTTTCAGCTTTCTATCGTTTTTCGGCTGGGAGATATTCGTGTTTAAGCTTGACAAATTTGAAAAATATTTTTTTTTTTTTCAAAACTGAGAAATTCAAATGTGTGGTTCAAATAGTTACAAGTAGCTATTAAAATGTATTTTTTTTCGCGAAAATATTTGTTTTTCTTGAAGGATATTCAAGGATAAATTTTAAAATTAAATTTTCAATAATTTTTTCTTCAGAAAAATTTTTACTAAAACGTTTGTATTAAGAGAAAAAATGCCAGATATTAAATAAAATGTACTTTTTTGTTTGCGGAAATATTTCTTTTTTATTTAGGGATATTCAGTGATAAATTTTAAAATAATTTTTTTTGGAATTTTTTCTTCTGAAAAATTCTAACCACGAACTTTTGTGCAATCCCCGCGACTTTCTTCTTTCATTTGATATTCATAGTAGTTTACTGTGTAATGTCTAAATCATATTTTTAGTGAAAAAAAAAACTGAAGACTAGTTAAAATCGATTTTCTCGAATATTTGTTGAGATGCAGACCTCTGGTTGATACCAGTAAACTCAGTAGGTTTCATCTAACCGAATAAATTTACAAGAACGTTGGTACAAAAGCTTCTTTCAAAAACTAAAACAATGTAATCTCTGTGGAATCGCACGTATCAACCAAGCTAAACTAACCTTAATATACATTCTTCCGAGTTTCGAGTTATTCAAGTTATACAGTTTCCATTAATCATTGGATTTAATACATATGTACTGTATGTATGTTTTTTGGAAATCTATGGGCGGTTTCTTTAAAATCTTGAACTTTCGAATATCGAATAAACCGGATTTTTTAATCGAACAAACCGGTTTTTTCGTTTCATCGTAAACTTGATCTGTGATTAAAAAACTTATAGCTTTTCGAAGTTTTGCAGTTGAAGGGAAGCCCCTAAATAATTTTAAAATTATATCCTAGGTTATTTGGGATGAACAGTATATCCATATTTGGTTCCAATAATCGAATACTTGGCGCTTAAACGCTTTCTACGTGTTTGGCCGAGCTTCACTTCGCACTTGTGTTCCGCTCTTTTATGGCAGAAGTACACTCGAAGGATAGCTGTGAGAGAAAACTTCTGTTGATGTTGCTAGATCCAGAACTTCAACCAAAAAGTATTAAAAAATTACCAAACAAGAATTTTTCACGGATTTTTATTTGTTTTAATTTTGATATAACTTTATACTTATTTTGCTTTGTTCTTTTTTTAATAAAAATTATTTTTACTGTTAATAGTTTTATTGTATTTTGTGGTCATAACTACTATAATAAGCATTTTGACTGCATAAAAACTATGTAAAATAAAACCGATTTATCCGATTTTCTCTTAATTTATACGGTTAAGGCGTGTCGCACAGGGGGCAAAGTTCAGATAATCCTATGAAGACGTCTTAACCAACTCTAATCGGGACCAAAATTTATATGTGATATCTGTGACCGTGTTATTACCGATTGAAGGGGCAGTCTCACCCCTCAAAAAATCACTCATCTGATTTTGAACCCCCACCCACTTATGAACATGCATACATCTGTACATAGTATAAAGGAAAGTCGAGATTCTTTGTACGCGGCAATCTCGAAAGCTGCTGATCGGATTTTGATGAGATTTTCTCTAATATACTCTTTATCGACATGAGAGGGATCTTTTTTTACTTAGAATTTTAATAGGGTTGCCATCTGTCTAAAAAACTATAAGATCCGCACCGTTCGTTGGATTTCAAAAACTGAGGTGTCAAATGAAAGCGCTTGGTCTCAAGAAAATCACGAATGTCTTATTTTTTGAACAGGGTTGCCACCTGATAATAAAATTATTATATTCAATCCTAATAAGCGTAGGCGTCAGTTCAGTGCCGTCACTGTCAAATAAAAAGACTTATCCTCTAGATGCGAGTAGGGTTGCCACCCGTTGAAAGGTCTTCAACGTTCGTTGGATAAAAAATTAGATACCAAATGAAAGTGCGCGGCCTTCTCATGTACAAAAACTTTGAATTTTTGAGTAGGTATTTTGACCCCGCTACTGAACGGATGTAGACAAGATTTTTTCAATATATAATAAACGAAGTACATGATGACATATTTCTTTCTCCAAATTCGTGAATTTACATACATATGCATACATTCAGCGCGTGGCGAAGCCTAGTATATCTATAAACAAAGGGCAACTCAAAATTGTTTCCTACTGAAAAACACTTTTTCATTAAACTTGAACTTGAAAAGCATTCATAAATTCACATCAAAAGCAATGCCAACAATAATTTCCATGGTAAATAATTATTAACCGCTTTGAATACAAAAGCTTTTGATTATGAGTTTATACAACGCAGCAAATTTGCATCGAGCATTCCGCACATGCGGGATGACAACAAAGGTCGGTTTGGGAGTTAGTTAATTCGTTGATAAACATACATATGTACATACCTACATACATATGTGCATATGTAAACGGGTGTGTAAAGCCATGCCAATGCAAGCATTCACGCATAGTTTGTAGTTATGAGGTATGCATTCCGTGGTTACATAAATTATTAAAATACCAGTACTTCCCCAGTGACAATGTGAACATAAATAGGTCTGTGCTGTCACAGCAAACGGCCACAAATGTCAGTGAACCATCAGTGGTGAGACAAGCAGAAACATGACGGCAATTTATAGAATTTTAAATGCACGCATGCAAACGCTGGCACAAGTTGTAGTAGTAGTTTTGGCATGTCAAGAAATGCTGTCGCAGTGGGGGCTGGCGACAGGAATGCAAGAGGTAAAGCAAGAAGCTACTCAAATCCAAAATCGCTTTAAAGCATTTGCAAGGAGTTTGCGTTTACTACGCGGCGAGCCACCACTGAAAGGAAAAGTGAATTTAGTGCACAAGGATGTGGTGCAAGAATTGTGGATGGAACAGAAATTGGATCATTTTGATGAAAGGAATAATAAAACTTGGTTAATGGTAAGCATATAGGGCTAATTTATTTCATACCCATCAGCTAAAAAATATCAGTCCAGTGCATTTAATTCAAGCACATTTCTCGTATTCAATTCCCCATTTTTTCCAGCGTTACTTTCGCAACGACCACTACTTTCAACCAAAAGGTCCAATTTTCATTTTCGTTGGCGGCGAATGGGAAATTACGCCCACATATCTCTTGACGGGACATATGCACGACATAGCTAGGCAGCATAACGGCATGCTTTACTATGTGGAACATCGTTTCTATGGTCGCAGTTGGTCTTTGGGGTAAAATATGAAAGTAACTGACTGTTGATAAGAAATAAAATTTAATTTTTTTTTAGTGATGCTGGCGTCGTAAACTTGAAGTACCTGAGCTCACGCCAGGCCCTAGCCGACTTGGCGCATTTTATTCAGCAGCTAAAGTTCAGTGAAGCTGAGTTGGCAAAGTCCAAAATTATACTTACGGGAGCTTCTTACTCTGCCAGCTTAGTGGCTTGGTTTGCTAGACTATATCCGAACTTAATGAGCGCTGGTTGGGCTTCAAGTGCACCGTTGTTGGCTAAACTGGATTTTTATGGTAAGTGATACGAATTTGTTGAATTAAAAGAATTCTAAGTTCTGGCTGCGTATAATCGCTTCTCAAAGTTTATCTGATCTGATACTTCGAACACTTTTATATTTACATGTCTATTCTGCACGTTACCGAAGATCTTGTAACCAGAAAATTTTATTACCAAAAAATGTAACCAGTTCTTGTCACCGCGATTCTAGGAACGTTGGTAATGCAGTTAAAATATTCAGCAATTCAGCTATGAAGAATTGTGCAAATTCTGGCATTGCATATTTCATGGGGCAATACTTTGTTACCAGCTTATGAGATGGTAACAAAATCTACCGGTTACAAGAGTCCACAGAATGCGAAAAGGGTTTAAAAATTGACAGACACTTTAATTACCGGTTACAAACTTTTTATTACCAGCGCAGAATAGACCTGTTAGTAGCAAAAAAAGCATCCTTGAATGATGTTTGGTTGGTTGCCGCGCTTTCTAGTTGCTGTCTTTTACACAATTAGCTCGTTTTCCGCCCTTTGAATGCACTTCTCGAGGAGAATATTTTGTCCATGTACATCCTATATTTCTTGGCCGAACCATTTTGATTCTCTAATGAATCAAGCTGCTGATAGTTGTCTTACTAGATGGACACTTTCTTCGCTTTCTTCTATGTGACAGCTGCAGCAAAAATTATTATATTATATCCTGTTTTTCTGCATGTTTTTCTAGGGGCCAGTGCCACGTCACAATTCTGAACACCTCTGTCCTTAGATTTTGAAACCGGTGGTGCTATTGCCAATAGCGCCACCTGACTGTCAGAATTTTAAGACTACTACTCCAATCCATCTTGGATTTGGCAGTGTATAAAGATAGGCTCTCTATCGGCCTATCGGTTTCTTCCCCATTCTCTTACAGCTGAAACTTAAATTACCTACCATACAGTCTATCGTCCTACTATGATCGTCCCATGTCCGAAGTGTGTAATGCTCCAGATGCCTGACTCTCTGAGTCTGACTGCCGGTTTCATAGTCACTTTTTTCAGGAGAAGATCGATAGAGATGAGGCTATCCTCCATTTAGCGTTTCTATTGAGCAGGATCTCTTTGCGCCTGTTACTCCAGCGCCTGCTGACCCTTGTATGGTTCTTATTTTGGTGATTATATTGTATGCTTAATCCAAATGAAGTTAGCAATGTTTTATTTAGCCATCTCCAGCAGAGATCAGGGGCAGTCCTGCACATTGCGGTTTTCGGTTCCTCCGACCATGGAAATGGATTCCTTTACGCAAGGGCAGCAAAAATGTGTGGTTAAAATATTGTAGAAAGTTCACTGCTACTATTCTTTGGTCACAAATGGAAAAAAAAATTAAAACCCCCTTCCTTTTTAAGGCCATTTGAAATGTCAACGAATTTTTTTTTATCGGACGAAACTATTTTTCCTGAATTCTTCAACTCATAAGCTTTAAAAAGCTATTGATTTTTTTCGCTAGCTGTTCTCGTTCTCTGATATTAGAATTTGGCACTAAAAAAGTTCAATTTCCAAAGTGGTGCATTAACTCTGGCCCAGTTGTCTGTCTGGTAGACTAACCAATTCTGGCGGGGATTAGTAGCTACCAAACAACAACAACCCGGCAACTTTGCATATCGAGGATTGTTCCCAGCAATCGCATCAAAGAGAAGCCTCTATGAAATGTCGTCGTATGCCTTAGTAGCTAGAAGGTCATACAGTTTTCTATGTCCATGTAAAAATATCACCTTGACAAATAAGTATTCCGAAATGATCAAGAGGGAAGTCAGACATTCCGTGAACAATTTAAAATGCATCACAAATGAACCCAAAGAACTGATTGTCTCCAAACCAAATTTGACAAGGGATGAAGAAAATTCGTTCCAAAATATATCATATACCCACCCTGTCGGAAACCACAACAACCAAAAAGGAAATAAATGGGAAACTAACTAGTTCAGAACTAGCTCACCTCTACTTCTCTTCCATTTCCCCAGACTACATGCAGCAAGTGGGAAATGTTATTCAACATCATGGTGGTCATGAATGCACTGAACGCCTGGAGGCTGGCCTTGAACGCATTGCGACTTTACTCGAGTCCTCGAATGCCTCCAAGCTACTACAGGCTCTTCGCATATGCAATAATTTCAAAACAACCAACCAACTGGATCGCGCTGCACTTTTCAATGGCATTGGCAATTATTTCGCCGCTTATGCGCAGCTGTATGAGTAAGCTAACAGCAAGGCAAATTTTTGCAATTTCGATTTTTAATTTCCCCAACCGTTTCTAAGCGATCAAGTGAGTAGCATTTGTGCCACACTCATTACCGCAACTGCCGATGCAAACGACTTGACAGCCTTCATACAATTCATCATGCAGATTTTCTGGCCGGAGGCATTAGAGCGCACAAAATCCGAGGACTGGTGCATAGATTTGTCATACGCAGGCATGGAATCCATCTTCGCCGATGACACAGACCAGCTAAGCGGCAGTGAGTATCCTTAGTGACCAGCAGACACGCTGAGGCCAGCGGCAATGACAACAGCAACAGCAACTCAGTGCCATAATTCAATTTGAAATTAATTTTCATGTGCTTGCAGCACGTCAATGGTTTTACCAGAGCTGTCACGAATTTGGTTGGTTCGCCACCACCGCCAGCAGCAAAAACGCGTGGAGCAACAACGGCAATAGCAATAACGGCAGTCACAACATCCGACCGAAGGACATTCGTCAAGCAGCGCTACTACGCCGCCATGAACAGCCGTCCACATTGGCCTATTCATTTGGCCGCCAAGTGCCACTCAATTATTTCCAACAACTTTGTCGTGATGTTTTTGACCCACTCGCCACTGGTGGCGATGACATTTCCACCAACGTTCAACAAACAAATAAACATTTTGGTGGACTCACTGCCGCCGCCATAACGCTACAACAGCGTGTCATCTTCACTCACGGTCAACTGGATCCCTGGCGTGTTGTTGGGCTGCAGGAGGGTAATAATGTTATTATGATACCAGGTGAGTTGGTCGCCACCGAGGCCGCTGGCAAGCCAGAAGGGCAGAGGGTTAACCGCTTTTGCAGCTGTTTGCCTTCTGTGGCTTGGTTAATTTTGGCGTCAAAACAGAAATTTTTGCCTGATTTTTAAGCCGAGTAGAAATGTATTTTTTAGCGCTAACGCTCAACGTGTTTAAGCGATTCGCACTATGGCTCTTTATATTGCTCGCTTCGCAAGTTTACGTTTAATCATTAGGGGTTATCGCCGAAATTCGCGGTTTTGTTATGCTAATAAGTGCAGACTTCTCTGCTGCCATTGTACAAATTGTTATGAATTGCTTGTTAGTTTTGTCATTGACGCTCGTCTCCTTTGTATTGTCCCAGACTACTCTCACACCGCTGACTTGGATTCCATAAACTTCGACGATGCCGTGGAAATGAATGTAGCTAAGCTAAAGGTTGCCGCCTTTTTGCGTCGCGCCTTAAGAACATAAACAACAACTCAAAAACTGTAAGCAAAATAATAAAGCAGGGTCATTGGCATCCACTGAGAATACGCTGGGAGCAGTCTAATGTCCCGTCGGAGGTTCAATAAAATTTTCAAAATAATTAAAATGAATCGCTAGTTTTCAAGGCACAATCTGTATTATTACCCATACTTATATGTACATATGTATGTATATATATATAAATTACGTTGATCAATTAAAAATATTTGAATTTGGAATGTGTGTGTTTGTGTGTTCGCAACTCTTTTCCCCCTAAGCCGTTTGGATTTATGTGGCTGAAATTTGTATTTTCTACTTAAGGAATGAACCAGCTGATCAGAGCTCGGCCATCGGACAGATTCTCGCTACGCATTAAATCTTCCCAGGGGGCTTTTACGAAAGCAGACGTACTGATATGACGATCCCGGGCACCGCACTCAAAGGCTACCAGAGCCGGTGGAGGCTCAACTGGTAGAAATGTCTACGGCTTTCGAAAGTCATACCAAAGACTTTAAAATTGTACAGGGCTCACAAGACATGTACTTCCACAGCTGGAAAGACTTGTAAAGCGGAGATAAAGATGAATGTAAGTAGATAATTCGAGTAACGGAGGTGGAGACACCGCTGGTAGGACTTGTAAAACGGAGATAAATAAGAAAAATTGGGCATCGTGTGTATGTAAACATGTTTTGCAAGTCTATTCGCATGTTGAGTGAGTCGGGCGAGTCTGGCTGGTTGAGCTAGTCTGGCTGACGAGCACTACTCCGGTCTGTTCATGGTACGGCCCTTCGAGGAGTATCGTGGTGGCTGTGGTTTACCACCTAAATGCGGGTAGAACCAGCAATGGTTCAATGTGGAGTTGCATTGCAACCGGATGTCGTGATCCAGAGATCGTCAGAGGGTTTAGGTAGACCTCGGCCCTACCAAGGTGATAAGTATGTCCACCACACACTGCCAATTGGTACTGAAGTGCTTGCATTGATTAAGGCAAGAATTAACCTGCTGTGCTGAGTGCAGGCACCGTGATGCTAAGCCTTCTGGTTGGGAACCACGTTAAACCCGACATGAAGCTACGCGTCAAACCCTGAGAAAGACCATAGATAAGGAAATCGTCGTTTTTAAAGCCCTTTGTGATAGTACAAAGAGAAGCTACCTCTTCGGCGTGATGTCGAAATTTGGTATCTCTGCCAAACTTCAATACAATTTATTAGCTCTGTCTAAATTGCGAAAGAAGTCTCCGAGCCGTTCGAGATGAAATACATTAGTGGACGCACATTTTTTGCTGTGCAGAAGCGTGTGCCTATTTTGCTATATCTGCTCCCTAGTGTAAGTAAATACTCCCGCTATTTGGAAATAGCAACGCAAGACACACTCATAAACTCTTTATAAGTATAAACTATAAGTGCTTGCGTGATATATTTTTTTTAACAGAGCTGTTCATTGCTATTCGGCTTTGGGTGTAAATGGACTAAATATACGAGTATAATTCGAAGTACTACACCTAGTATGAATACCACCAAGACTAATGCGTCAACCCATTAACACTTCAAAGAGAAAATGGAATCTTTCAAGTCGAAGTATTCTATAAAAAGTCCAACACGTCTCATAGACAACCACACCACTAGTGACAATAAAATATTTGCTCAATAAGAGCATAACGAGCCTAACGCTGAAAAGTACTGAAATCTTGTCAGCGCACCCACTTACTTACTTTAATACGTACTTTTTTATTATTGCTTTTATTTTTTTTTCACAATGTGCTTGCCAAGCCCCATTATTTACCACTACAATGCCAGAGCATAATATTGTAAGTACCTGTGGCAATGTTGCAATATATGGCAAAACATAATAAATACAACATAGAATATGGCAATGAAAGCGGTAGAATTGCCTGAGGAGCTGGTAGTCGAGTTAATAACAGCAAAAGCCGCAAACCAGACGCACAGCACAGCATATATGTATAACTGTACCTATCTATATGCTTGTACACATTGTAGCCAACAAAAAGTGGGTGGAAGCGGCGAATGACAACGGCAGAACGACTTTAGTAATGGCAACATGTGGTCGCCATTGAAAAAGATTGCAACAAGGCATCAATAAATTAGTTTTTATGCTGGGGTGCACAGATGACGGCAGCTTATACCACATACGATTGCGTTGTTTTACATGCAGACAGATATACATAAGTAATCATGCATGTACATATGTATGAATATGAATATGCAAATGTACCTACATAAATGTGCGGAAAAGCTGCGCTCAAAGGAAAATACCGATTTGAATATACATATTTTTGTTCTTATTTTTTGTTATTTTCACTCAACCCAGTGCGTCGTTGTCAGTAGCGATTCTATTTCTTTGCATTTGCGTGCTTGTGTTGTGGTTGTCATGACAAACAGTTACACACGCGCACACCCACCCACCCATTTGCATGCATAATAACAATTTATAGCTGTCAATACATTTAAGTGACTTTTATAATATTCACACTTGGTAATTTGCAAAGGTTTCCACAATTTTTTGTTGTTTCCGTTTTTATTCGGAGGAATAATACGTATGTAGGTGTTACTAATACGCTACGTGGGCCCAGAGGTATGTACTTGCGTACATACTATAAATATCTACGTACTACGGGCACATACCCTGCACAAATTTGAGGACCAAGTGGTCTACTGAGCCCAGATTGCATACTAGTAACGTGTTATGCTGACCTGGACCACTTCAAACGTAAACAATTTATGTAATTGTTGAGCATCACCTCTTCGTGGCCCATCGTCAATTTGTTTCGGTTGCCGAATGTGAATATTATTAAAGCATTTTATATAATGGATTTTACTATTTCCAATTAAAAAGCACCTTTAAAAATGATCAAATATTTAGTTTATACAAAATCTTATGAAGTTCAGTCTACGGCCCAAAAGGAGTAGTTGTCTAGGTGGCCCCATCTTACGCAGCGGTGTGCCAGAGGTGGTCAGGTCCAATGACAACGCAATGTTAATGTAACTATATTTTCACCATATCATTGGATCATTTTGATTACTATAAAAAAAAAACTTTTATTTGTGATTGGATTCATCAAATAAATAAGAAAGATATTTCATTTGCGATTTCATTCCTTACCAAATTTATTTGTGATTTTATTCGTCACACAAATAAGAAATCGAATTTATTTGTGATTTGATTTTTAGAGCGAATCAATTTGATTTTTGATTTTTCAACTAAATAACACTTTTTATACAACGCAAATGCGATATTCAAGTATCTTCCAACTACTAGTTCTACGAAAATCTTCGGGATTCTTGGGACTACATCGATATTTCTGGAACTATTTGGGGTTTTTCGAGACTATATCGGGACTCCCGGGACTATATCCGGGTGTTTGGGATTACTTTGGGGTTTTTGGGATACTCGAGAGTATTTGGGAATTATCGGGATTAATTTGGGATTTTCGAGACTTCTTAAGAATTTTCGAAACTATTTTGGGTTTTGCAGGACAACCTCTTTATAGTAAATAAGAAAATTTTTACAAACACAGAAAGTTTTCATTAACTAATGATCCCTTAAATTTTGGCTATGAGTGGAATCGTTAACGAACAGGTTAAATGATAATTAGCTAAGAAATACTTAACTTACCTTAACTCACCTGAAATCATATCAACTCACCTCAGCTCAACTCAGCTCAACTCACCTCAACTCAGCGAAAAGTATGGTCCCGACAATCCAAAAATAGTCTCGAAAATCCCAAAGTAGAAACCCGAAAACATCGAAGTAATCTCGAAAAACTTTAAATAGTAAAGAAAATTCCTAATAGTAAAAAAATTGGAACTAGTCCCAAAATTCTGAAGCCCCCGAGGTACCGAGAATCCTTAAAATTTCCAATTAGTCTCGAAGATATCGAAATAGTCCCAAAAATTCCGATTTGGTCCCGAGAATCTCCCTCGGAATAGTCTCGAAAACCCATATAGTCCCAAAACTCGATATTGTCCCAAGGATTATTATTTCATTTAACTGGTGTATAGGTTAAATAAATTCGAATTTTCAGACAGGTGACAACTTTCTTTAAAAGTATTTTCAAACTAAAACCTTCCAAAATCTTCTTCATCTGACATTGTGATACATGCATATGATGAACTATGTTGAAATGGATTTTTAAAACATAAATGCAGTTCAAAAATAAATGATTTTCAAACCCATTTCGATTCAAACCCATAATTTAATAATTATTTTAAATTATTAAAATTAAATATTTTAAATAATAAGTTTTCATATTATTTTTTTAACAGGTGATAACCCTCTAAAAGGTTTTAAATGTTCTAACTATTTTCACTAACTTCATAATATAATAATATTATAATTTATATGTATATATGTAATTTATTTAAATTAAGTTGAATTTGATTTTTTAAAGACATGGCAACGGTGTTTTTGACATCCCGGAAATCCTGGGATTTGCTTGCATTAATCCCGGGAACCCGAAAATTTTGAAATATCGAATTGATAGTAAGAATATGTTTATAAATTGTGAAGTATGATTTTTGTAAAATGCCGTTTTGACTGCAATTAACAAAAAGCTTGAAACTGTACTTTTAAATTGCAGTCTGAGCCTTTTTGAAAAAGATTTCAATGAATTTACTCATAGCGTCGCTAATGTAAACTAAACAGAGAATTTTAAGGAAAAGTTATATAATTTTTTAGACCAATCTACACAAAACTTCCTCTCAAAACTTTGACCGACGTGCAGGTAAAAGAAGTTCAAATATTTTGTAATGGAGGAGATAGGGGTCATTATCTTCAAATGGATTATGTCTACCTTTTGACAGTTCAGCCTAAAAGTGTTGATGCCGAAATATGTTTTTCATCAGTAGGTTTTGTATGTAAAAACTGCAGGTCAAGCTTAGAATACTCCGCTTTGAATGCTTTGCTGCTCTTACGAAAACATTTTAATAACAAGTAATTTTTAGCAAAAAAAAAACGACTTAAAAAAAATATATATATATCTATATATT